CAAAATTACATATGTGATTAATAAGATAGTAATAAAGGGACTTAGCATTTCTCACACGAATTTGGTAGGGTGCTGATGACTCAAGTTTGTAAAGAAATATCATTTTTTCTGCAAGAAATTTTGCAGTCATTACCTATCCACCCTTCCCTAACTAAGACTATTTTCCTGGATTTTCTAAGCAGTTTAATTTCATATGTGTAGTCACATGCTTGCTGCTGAATCTTACTTTTATCGCCCATTTAAGCTGACTCTTCAACATTTACTGAAGTTACAGGTATTAGTGCTGTTCTGTGTCTCAACATGTGAAGAACGTGTGTGACATTCAAGTACCAAGTAAGCTGTTGAAATGGGTAGTTAGCTTTGGCAACACTAGAGCTTTCTTTCTTGCTAAAAGGAATTGTATTTCTTCTAGTATTCTTCCCTTGGTTTTTAATCAGTCTTTGCTTGTGTAAAACTCCTGTTGTTAGCTGTAATGAGAACATTTGCACAAATGTAAATGCTGTAATATAACTTATTTTATTAGATATAAGTATTCAACAATACCTTTTCATCACTTAGTCCTTTAAAAAATGTAATTCACAGTGTGTTTTTTCTGGTTTCATGCTGTACCATTTAAAAAACATTGAGCTTATGCTTAGTATTCAAAACAAAGCAAAAAAAAAATTCTTTTCTTTCGGTTTGGTGACTGAATTGCAAAAGTACATGGAACACAGTACAGATGGAACCAAATTATTTTTGGTAATACTTTTGACAAGATGAAAAACTACAACAGTGGCCATTTTTCAGGCAATTTGACATTTTTATTCAAGTTGATGTGTTAAATGTGAAAAATCTTTTAGCAGAAGAATAAAAATGCAGATTCATTATGAAATGTTTAAAAGTTTAAGTAAAATTGTTTTGATATTTCCAAATCATTATTTTCTCTTTCAACACCTCTTTTAAAGATTTTCATTTTTCTTTCTAGAAAGCACTACTCAAAAAAATTGTCTCTAACAGTTAATATCTTCTCAAATCTCCACTTTTTTGGTGGGGGGAGGGGAAAAAAAAAAAAGGCTTGCCTACTTCTATCAAAGCTTTGAAATGCTTCATTCTAATATGAATTAACTGAGGATATTCTTGTAGTGGTTCCACCTGGGAATCCACTTGAGATTTCCATGTTCTTACGTACACCTGAAAAAAATTAGGTTTTTTTTGTTTGTTTTGTGTGTGTGTGTGTGTGTGTATGCGTAAGACAAGTACATACTAACTATTTAGATTTTCATCTGATGGAAGATAACAGACAAACTACCATGAATGGATGTTAGCTATAGCACATAATTCTAAAAAATGCCTCTGGAATAATCAAATGCTCTATGTAAGGTTGCATGTAGGAATGCTTAGTATTAGACAACCATATTATAAGAACATAGATTGAGTTTTAAACTGAATTACTAATGTTCCTGCAAAATTTCCAATTTCCCCCAGAAAATTTCCCTAAGTGCAGTCATTGGTTCACCTTCAGTGATCAGGAATGCACTGATAATATTTTTATGGAGACAGAAGGGGAATATGCTGGGTGCTGGTTGTGCCTTGGAGAGGCAGATCACATACACTGATAATATTTATAAGTGACTGTTAAAATTAAACAAAAACAGTCATGAAATCTGGCAGCCTGTTTTTATTCAATATCTGGAAATTTTATGAAATCATGTTTGTAAACAGGAAGTATAAGGTATTTTTTATCCTGTAGTAGATATTATATATTATATTATTCCAGAATATTCTGGATTATTCTATCCTAATCCCAGAGGATACTACTTAGTATAACTTAGTGGGTCAGTATTTTGAATAATTCTTCTTGGCTCCAAAAAAATTTCTCTTAAAAATCATTTGAATTATTCATTTTCTGATTTAAAATCAGAATCCTCAGCTCGTTCTTTTCATTTCTTTGCAGATGCTTTGTCATATGTATTTATCTATACGTGAGTGTATACAGATTTCAGTGTGCTTCAAAAAAGATTCTACCTGCTTGTGAGGAAATCCAGATCTCTGCGGGAAGTTCATGCAGTAATTTAACTCATCATGTCCAGTAGCCTTCCTCAAAGATTAGATGTTATGCATTGTCTTGTACACTACGCATTTGTTTTTGCACAGTAGTTCTCTCCCCCTTTTTTTCTTTTATTTCTTTAAACAATTTAGCATTAATTAGTTACACATTAATGACATCTACATAGCATGGTAACTGGGGCATTTACCTCCAGAGTGAGACACCTGGCTTCATATGCCAGTGTTGGTGAATATTCAGGAATTTTGTACACAGTAGGATCCCTAATATATCACTTGGGAAGAATACTTAAGCCCAAGGATGAAGGTTTAGATTGGATCTTGATGAGAAGTTCTTTACAGAGAGAGTGGTGAGCTGCTGGGGCAGGCTGCCCAGAGAGTCTGTGGATGCTCCATCCCTGGAGGTGTTCAAGACCATGAGGCTGTGGGCAACCTGCTCTAGTACCAGATCTGGAGGTTGGTGGCCCTGCCTGTGGCAGAGGGGTTGGAACTTCACAATCCTTGGGATCCCTTCCAACCCAAACCATTCTATGATTCTATGTTTCTATAAATACTGCTTGCTGATGAAGAAGAAAAAGAATCACATTAAGTTCCCCTTAGCAAAGAGAGCAAGAGAGTTATGTATCACTTGCACTGTGACTGAATGCCTCCATCACTGAACTGTTAGAGAAAGGATGAAAATGGAGCATTTACTCTCTTTCCTCTGTTTCAGTTTTTGAAGTGTGGTTTTTCTTTATTGTTTCAAATGCCAGGATTTTCATGCTCTGTGGTAGTTTTGCAGTTCTTATTTGGCAGAAAATACTTGACTCTGTTTCAGAGAGAATTTTAGAAATCCTCAAACTGCTTTTCTAGTAAAAGATGAATCAGTTGTTTCTCTGCTTTTTACTTCTTACTGCTTCTATGCTGTTTTGTACTATGAGGTACTGGTTTGTTATGATTCCAGTGGGAAAGGCTTAAACTTTGTAAGTTATCATTCACAATGCTGTTACTGGAGTTAACACTATAGGAAGAGAATGGCACAGGTACATTTTCATCCCTTTTAATGCTGGTAGGCTAGGGCAATTAACCACAAAAAGTGATTCTGAGCCATGCACAGCATGCTTTGCATACCTCTGTCCCTAGCAGAGATTCTTCCCCCTTGAACATTTAAGTTATTGTGGGATTTTCTTAGAAAGAAAAAACTGCTCAATTTCTACAAAGCAGAAACAATGTTCTTACAAGAACTTCTTGCTGCTCTGCTATGTAAGGCAGGAACATGCAGATGAGGTGGCTGCCAGTGCCATCTGCCCCCCCCAAAGCTGATGCAGTATACACAGCTTCACAGCTGGGACTGATGCAGGTCTGCTGCATCAGATCACACAGCACAGGTCTGGTATAGCTCAGACTGTGTGGAAGATCCCAACTCCTCCATTGGCCATGGAGGAATCTTCTGTCAGGATCAACATCAACTATTAGGCAACTCAGCCATGCTGGCTGGTAACAGCAGTCTTATTGCCAAAGTCATCATGGTTGGCTATGAGTGCAGTTGCCCGCTCCTGTAAAATAACTCCTATTTTTTATATTAGTGATTGTCTATGATGTTTATCTCCTGGTTGGCTCCTTTCCAATTTCATGGTGCTACTCTCTCTTTTCTTGAGACGTTTGTGGTGGCTGAAATCAATGAGCAGAATCTGAAGTGACACGGGAACCTAAGTGAATTGATGCTGTTTATCCAGTACAAAGAGAAAATAAATTCTCATTAGTTTACTTTGATTATATTCTATAAAGCAAGAAGTATTCTGTGGATAATGTTAGGAAAATATTTTTAGATTGTGTCTGTATGAATGCTATTCATTAATAGTGTCAATGCAGTAGTGAACATCCTCATTTTTTGCACCTGTGTAATGCTTTTCAGGATTGCTGCATGCTTTCCCTAGTCTAAGTTTTAGCATTCATATATTTCTTCATCTTATGTAGCAATGAGTTGCTTTGAATAACATGAGAAGCCTATTCCTCCATGTGGAGAATATCATGTAGATTTTACTGTGGCATGGATAAAGAACTAGTAATATTTATAAATGTATTTGTAAGACTTTTGTCTTCCTTGTAGGTGTTAGAAATCAAAATATCTTTTAAGGAACACTAAAGGAAACAACAAAAAAGTAGGCATAACTGAGCATAAACTAGTTGTAAAGCTCACCTAAGTATTTGCAGACAGCTGTTTGCAGCAGTCATCTAGCTTTGAGCACTCTTTGCATCAGCAGTGTCATTGTTTGAGGAATGTTCTTCAGTAATATTACAATAATTCCAGGAACATGGAGTAGGACCTCCTTTTTCTTGTGTAACTGTTGAAAAATGAGGCAAGAGTCATCTTTAAATGTAATTTTTTCTTGCTTGACTTACTTTTTGGACTTTATCCCAACCCTTGATCACTGAGATGCATTTTTTTTTTTTTTATGAAGTTACAGCCCTCAAGAGCTCTTCATGTATTTCCTATTTTTACTGTAAAGCTCCTTGAATTACTTGACACATACTCCTGTTTGCCAAAAACAATAGGCTGTCTTTTGTCTTGATATGCATTTTCTAATCATCGTGCTAAAAGGTTATACTGAGCAATCTGATCATCATTCAACTATCTTCACAACTCTGCTTCAATATGCATCACCTGAGAAACACAAAAAAGGCAGTTAAATAAAAGATAAGTGAGATCTTATGAATCCTAGTGCAGTGAGGCTGGAATGATTTTATTTGGGGATCCTTCCCACCACTTGTTTTATTTATTTATTTATTGGTTGGGTATTGTTTGCTTTTTGTTTGTTGGTTTGTTTTCTGTACTATAAATATTTTGTTATTTTGTCACCTTCCTGTGAATAGATAAAAATAAAATGCTCTAATAATTTAATCCTTTACATTAAATAATTTATTGGATCACACTGAATGTGATGAAAAATCTGCTTTATTCTCTTCTCTAAATGATCAGCAGTAGGCAGTAGACCCTGTCAACTGATGCTATGAACTCTCACCAAGACTGAGCTGAAGAACAAGAACAAAGTACAGTGTATTCAGAGTAAGGCCTTATCTTGATGCATTAAAAAAAATAACTATTGGGAAGTTGCAGTGCTCAAGTCACTTCTGTTTCTCATTTCATGTAGTTTTTCATTGGAGACTGCATATGCCCATGTACACACACATCCTGTCTAGACAGTGCAGCTCATTTTGAGGAAATAGGCTTTTAAACATGTAATTGTGAGTGTAATGCTGTAAGGTAAGACCTTGGGTATCCCTGGAGGCTTCTCTTGTGGATACTTCACTTCTGCAGTGGAAGTATTTTGTTTACATCTTCTCAAACCCATCTCTATATTTTGAAGATTACCAGGCTGACAATATGACGTGATACATTAATTTAAATTTCTGTTTGCTGGAGAAACTAGCACTGTATATGCTTATAAAGGTTTTTGTTTTTTTTTTAAAAAAAAAGGGGGGGGGGGGGGGGGGGGGGGGGAGAAGATAATATTTCTGGATACTTATCCCCCCCTTTTTTTTTCCTTTTCTGAAATGAGTTTAGCATTGTGATCACTTTTTTAAAATATGATCCTAGAAAAGTGATGAATTATAATTTAGCCGTTTATTATTGTATCCATGCTTTCTACCACAGTTATGAAGTACATTCACATAACAGTAGTTTCAGGAGAAAGATAATCAGTATTTTGTCATGAGGCTCTGTAGATGCTGTTAAGACTAACAAAATATTTTTTTCTTTTTTGTTTTCAGATTTGTCAGTTATGTGCTGCTTGACTTTACTGAAGACTAGAATAGAACGTGTTTTCACATTATTTAAATTCTAGCCTCTAAGAGGAAGAAGAATAAATATACAATATTGTGACTTACTTATTAAACATCATCTTGATTTTTCTAAAAAGTGCATGTTCAGAAGATTCAACTAAATTTTTTTAGTAAAATAACATAAAAAATGCAATTACAGGTTAAGGCAGTTTGTAAGAGTGTGTAGGAATAAAAGGTATAATATAATTAATCTTTCATGTCTCTGATGGAAGACTCACTTCCAAACTAATTGCTCAGTGAGTAATTCAGTGCATAGAATAAACGAATGAAAAGAACATCAGTGCAGTAAGTGAAACAAAGTAATCACAGGAAAGCCTTCCCAAATATTTACACTTGCTTATATGATGTGCTTAATTGACTGTATTTTGATTCTCTAAATGCCAGTCAGAGGCAGAAGTAGCAGAAGAAAAAGCTAATTTTTTAACCTTTTGTGACACATCAAGAGGGAAATATTCTTGTATTTTATGTAGTGCTTTGTCAGAACAAGATCTATTTGTAAAGAGGGAAATGAATTAAATCCCTACAACTTCATTCAGAGTGACAGGTGCACTGTTCCTTTGAAATACTAGGGCAGAGAACAAAATACCATGCTATATGTTCTGGCTAGTCTGGGGAATGTGGGACCTAAGCTGTGTTATAAAAAAGGGAAAACTTGTAGGGAAATATTATCTTTCTTTTACCTCTGTTATAGTAGGTAGGAATTCCCATGTTAAAATTAGATTGTTTATTTTCCAAGTACTTATTTTATTTATGAACATTTAGCACTTCAAAACAAAGATAAAAAAAAAAAAAAAAAAAAAGAATATTACAGCAGGATATTTTATAAGATCCAGATTTCAACAGTGGGCATTGAGCAGTTAAGGCACATTGGTGTCTTCTACCATGAATAGAGAGGCAGTGTTTTTGTTGAAGGACGGGATCCAGTTCCCTTGAATTTACTTAAGAGGCAATAGGTACACAAAAATTCTGGGACATGTCAATGAGATTTTCCATCAGTGTTGTTCCGAGAGAAAATAAATATAAAACCTTGTATATTTAAGTTCAGTGACAGTAAACAGAACCCTTTCTGGCATATTACCATACCAACAAAGAGTGTAGTACCTGTGCGTGAAAAAAACGAATGAATATTCATTGGTTTGTTTGTTTGTTTCTGAATGCAAGAGTAGAACACTGAATTGAGTAGAACAGTGAACTCTGAGTAGACACTCAGAGGTCAAAAATTTTTGTAGTTGCTCAGATATTCCGTTGTAAGTAGACAACAGTTACAGTGGGTAGTAGCTGCTAAATGCAATCACTCTTTGCGGAAGAAAAACAAAGAACTCACCTTCTATCATCTCTCCGTTAGATGTCAGTCCTGAACATTTAACCGAAGTGCTTGGAGTTTGCGGATAATCTGAGTTCTTTCAAAAATAAAAGCCTTGCAGTGGGCACAGTCAGTGAAATTAGATGTTTCAAAGCTGTTCATTGAGGTGCTTCCTTAAGGATACATGGTTTCTGAAGAACAGCAGCGTTGAGGGAGAGGTACAATGTATCTGTATGTAACTGACTTGGGATGCTTTTAGTTGTCAGCTCTACTCTGTGCTTCCGTGTGACTTAATGCTTACTTAATTTTGTCTCACATTTGTAAAAGAGGGTAATAGTCTTCCATTTTTTTTTCAGATTTTTCTCCTGAAGGCAAAGATAATTGAACTTATTGTATATTTTTGTAGAGCATGAGTATAGGAAATCAAAGAATATTGGCTCTTAAGCCTCTGAGCAAATGTGAGAAGACTGAAAACATCAGATAAAAACTCTGAAACCTTTCCAAGTATATTGTCCTCTCTGGAGGAAACATCAGCATCAACTTCTGTACAGCCTTTCTGTATGCTGCTCTGCACACGCAAGTCAGTTCATGCTGCCACTCCTCTTATCAAGCCGTGATTAACTAATAAATACATTAGCTAGCATGTCATGATTTTTTTGTCTTATTTGTGTAGTTCTACTGAAAAAGCTTAATATACTGTTTTAAAAACAGCATCATAATATCAGATTCTCATTCTTCAGGTGATGTCTTTTACTTGATCTTCTGTCTCATATTTTATACCTTAGATGAACATTTGTTACTTAGAAGAATATTTGTTTTCCCCTGTCTTTTGTTATTAACTAGTTCTTCTTTCCTCCTCTTTCCCCTTTTTTTCCTTTTCTCAAGTCTTCCCTGAATAAATCAAATGTCCCTTTTTTGCTGTCTCTTTTAGATTTATAAGCCTCAGCTTAAATGTCAGATAATCACTTTATCTTCTCTATAATGATGTTTTTCATCTGGAGCTTTTACCCACAGCCTGAAATTACTAATCATTAAAACATCCAACATATTTAAACGTTCCACTTATTATCTTTTACATACAGAAAAAAGTAGACCTAAGAAATTCTAAGCTAGATGATGCAGTAGAGAGCAAGAAATAAAATAATCTTATGCTGTGAAAAGAACATACTGCCAACAATAAAATAAATAAAAATTATTCTTAACTGAAAGTAAAAAAGTAGTCTTTTTCATGTCTTGTTGTGTGGAAAAAGCAATGTATTGTGTATTCCAAGAACTACTGCCATTTACTTTCTGTAAAGTCAGAAGTTAGGCTAATTCCTAGCAGGATTAAAAGTGTTATTTTTAATTAAGTTGCCAAATGCATTAGGTTGCTTTTAATCATGATAATAAATTCATATTGATATTTAGAAGCTGGGTTCAACACTGGTAAAGAAAAAGAATATTATATATACTGTGAATTAAGGGAGATCTTGAAACAAGCTCTTATTTCTGAACAAGGAAAAAATCACTGATGGAGTAGAATGTGTTTGTTAACCCTGTTCCTAATAAGACACATACTTTCTTAGAACAAGATTTCAACTTCCAATTTTCAGCTTACTACTGTGCAACAAGATTAAAGCAGGATTTTTATAGAACAAGTGTTTGATAGTAAGCATTAGAAAATATAGTAAACAGCATTCATTATTCCTAGAATAGACAATTGGTGCCCTGGTGTGGGGAAAAAAAAAAAAAAAAAAAAAAAGTTTATGATGTGTTTTAAAACATTATTTTCAAATAAAAATAATATCAGACAGGAAGTTTCATGTAAGCTTTTGTATTTTAACCACTGAAGGGAATCACAGTTTATCAAAGAATGCAGCTCACTGGTGTTGGAAATATCCAAATAATTTTTGTCAGGATGGTATCTCTGATAAAATCAGATTTTATTCATGATTGCAATGGTGGGTGTCCCACAAGCAGGAGTGCCCCTATGGACACAGCATGACAGTCTTTATACCCTGTTTTCTCCCCCTTGCCTCCCCTCCTCCCCTGTTTCCCCACTGGCTGGGTACTCCAGGTTCACAGTCTTATCAGAAGGTTTACATTTGTTATTTACTTGTTAATTTATTTGTTATCTGGTGTCAGTCCTGTCCTCCTGTTGTTTCCAAGATGTCTCAGTGCTCTTCTTGTCATATTGATATATTGATTTTCTTGGAATGATTATGCTAGGCCTTCCGCTAAATCTTCAGGCACTTCCTCTGGCATGCCATGACTTGTTCTCTGGTTTGATCTCATGCAGGATATTCTTGCAGTGTGTATGACAAAAATGTACTTACATACATCAATATACAGAGTGTGGATTCCTGGGAAGGTTCGTCTATAAGATAAGTGATGTAAACTATCAGAGGTCTTCCTCAAGGTAAGTAGAAGGACTCCCAAAAAGAACTATGATAGCGGGGATCATGAAATAAAAAAATATTATCCAATTCTAATGCAGAAACAACATTTGATTCCCACACTGGTGAGTTCTGTTAACTTCTGTTTTATTTTCAAAGTCTTGCAGGTCAAGAAGATAACTGCATGGCAAGCACCAACTTCTGTTTGCATAGGAGAACTTTCCTATCCACACTATTAAATTACTATTGGGATACTTGTAATTAAAATGCAACTACATACAATGCTCACTTAAAAAGGAAACAACCTGAAGTAAATCAAGGTGAAAAGAAATTGTATTCATATTTATGGAATAATTTATAAAAACTAATGTGTAACAGCTAAACTTTGAGAAGAGTCCAAAAGCACCTATTTACCTACTGAGGATCAGAATAATCTAAGGTAATGTTCTTTCATTAAAAATATCTCTCATGTGAACAAGTACACATTCGCCATGGAGTAGAAGGAGGCACAACCTCAGGTGCACCCAATGAACTCATCATGTTGGTCTGTTAGGCAATAATGTATTTCTCTGTGGGGTTTCTTAGTTTTAGCATAGCTCAGGAAAGGATTAGATCAGAATTTGGTGTTTACATTAATTTTAGAAGTTTTCTGCAAGAAAGCTTTTGTGTATGCATTCAAGTGCTAGAGGATTTTCTCCCAGTAGATGCATGTCTTGTGGGGCTGTTCGAAAAACCTCAGAAAATCTCTAAAGCAGATACAGAGATTCTCCACTGGTTCTGTTTCTGCACAAGTATCAGTAAAGTTGAATTCTGAAGTTAAACTGCTATATTTTTTGTTTTCTCTAATATTTTCCAGTTTCTCAGTGTAGAGATATAGGGGATGGAGAATATGAGAAAATTCTTTCTGTAATTACTGCCCTTTCCTTTACCCATTTCAGAAAAGTAAAGATGGGTTTTACAGGCCAAATGAGTCCAGCTGTATTCTGTAATCACACCTAATTGACTGTAAAAATGTGCAAAGCTGGGATAGTGTGCATTGCCCACAGAGATCTATGTTGTTCAGGAATCTTCTCTATAGAGGAGTACTAGCATGCTCAGATGCATTTTCAGCTGCATTGCCTCTTTGTATTCTGTAGGAGAATAATATACTCTCATCCATAAAAAACTTCACAGAAATGCAGAACTATTACTAGGCAAAAATTCTCCAAAACCAGCAAAAACTTTATGCTGAACTTGACTTCTCCTTATATAAAGAATCAAACCAGGTCATTTAAAATAATTTTTTTGAAAACTAAGGCCAGCCCTTATTCTGACACTGTCTGCAGTGTCACCCACTGCTCTCATTGTATCACCTGTCCCTGCGGCACTGAATCAACAGCATTCCTCATCACTCACAGTAGAAAAGGCTTGCTGCTGCAGGTATTTTTCAGCAGAGTAGAATATGAGTAAGGGACAATAGGAAGGAGTCCTTTGAGAAGTTATAAAAAGAATGAGAAAACGGCAGAGAAATGAAAGGAGGAAGAGAATACAAAAGTGAAGGTATGCAGTGGGCTGGTGAAAAATAAAGAAAACTGCAATGGGTGGGAAATAATAAATTTTTGACACTTTTAAAGAATAGGTACTGAATCTGGAAAGGAATAACAATTCAGCCTTTGTAGAAAAAACTCATGTATCTTTATGCATGTTTTTTTGTGGAGTAACATAAAGGAAAATTACTTTGTTTCTGATATGAAAACTCTCACCCTGGGCTCGTGTCTCCTTTTATTTGTGGTACCTCTGTGCAAAATGCTGAGAAAGGCAAATGAACCCAGAAGTATTTATTCTTCATCACTCAGCTTTATGCTGTGATGCAG